CCTGAGATTAAGAATTCCTCATATCAGTGAGATCATATGATACATGTCTTTCTCTGATTGACTTATTTCGCTCAGCATAATCAGGTATGTTTATTTAAAATGCAATTACTGTGCCACAGTTACTTAACTAGAATTTGAACGTAAGTCTTTAGAATCTGAATTTCCCACACATCTCCAGTTCTTTTGCACACTAAAATTTAAGAACTGTTTGTGTGGTCTGTGGTTTAATCATTTCTGTCGTACTGTGCCATTGTGAGAGAATAGAAACATTAACTTTTGTTCTCATAACTTGGTAAGTTTTATATTTCAATTTGTTGGAAGACTTTTCCAGGCTTATCTTGTGATTCTTTTAAAATATGGCTTTGAGAATCAAAGATGTATATATTAGTGGTTAGTTTGGGATACTGCGGTGTCTTCTGATCTATACTGCTTTTGCTCAGTGTTAAAGAGTGAGGGTTCCAAATTTTTTCCTTCTCCTTCATATTTTATCCCCTTCCTTCATGGAAATAAATCCACAAAGAGATATCTGAATGAAGAGTAATTCCAGACTTCTTCCCTGAGGTGAGTCTTCACCCTAGAGTTTCTAGGGTGTGTGTGTGTGTTTGTGCATTATATTTTGGGATTAGGCTGATGAAGCAGGCACCCATATTTAGGAGGCAACAACCACATGATGGTCCCTGTGGATAGCCACAAAGGAGATACAAACTAGGATGTCTAAGGAGGTCAAGAGAAACATACAAACCCAGAGAACCTCAAACAAAAGTCACAGAAAGGACAGAATATAGAAGGATGTTCATGAGTGCTAAGAGGCTGGTTTTGTGTATCAAAAGAAGATCCTTGGAGAAGCTGCCTTAAACAGCTATTTGAAAAGGTTTAATTCATCTATTACTTACTGGCAGATCTTATATGTGTCATGTGTTGGACAGCCGAGGAAGGTCAATAAAAGGATACAATCCTTTTTCTCATGGTAATTGCAATCTAGCAAAAGAAGATAGCTTAAAAAAGAGAAATTAAACCTGAATTCCTAGTGGGAAGAAAGTCAATGAGTAAAGTAACTTTACCAGGTTGTTTTTTAATTCAATGAGGAAAACCTATGTCCACAAAGCTTTTAATAATATAAAATAACTTAAAAAATCCAAATATCCATCAACAGGTGAATGAATAAAGAAATTGTGGTATATTCACACAATGGACCTCTCCTCAACAATAATGAGAATGAACCAATGATGTATGTAAAACATGGGTGAATCTCAAAAACATTAAGAGAAAGAAGTCAGATATAAAGCAGTGCACATTGTATGACTCAACCTATATAAAATTCAAAGGAGGGTTAAACTAATCGATGATACTAGAAATTAGAACACCAATCACTTATGTGAATGGAGACTGGCTGGAAGGAGCACAGGGGAATTTTCTGAGGTGATGGAAATGTCTTTTATTGTGAACAGGGTGGTCATTAAGTATATGCATTTCTAAATTTACTTAAGATTTTGCATTTGAATTTATTGGCAGATTTTCTTGAACTTAATTTTTTAAATAATGGCAAACATGGCAAACAACATGTCAGGGACCTACTCCTGTCCTTACTAATTATTTACAAGTCCCACCCTTGGTTCTTTCATTGTCATTTCTTTCTCCTGGAGTTACTTTAATAATTACATAGCATTATAATATTCGTAAAGCACCTAATACAATATGAACTTAAGTATTAGCTAATACTACCATTGAGGTTGATAGTAATAAGGATTTCAACACCATGAATACCTATATTAGAGTATTATGTCATAATGTAAAACATATACATGCATATATATGTGTATGTATATATATATATACATATATCTACACACATACATGGTACATGAGTATATGTGTGCATATAGATAAATATATACATATTGTTCATGAAGAGAAAAGGCAGGTAGAGTTTATCTTGCAGAAGACCAAACAACTCATATATGGAGATACTAAGGCAGCCGATATAGAGGGGTGGGGTTAATTTGTTAACTTGTGAAGAAACTGAAAGGCCATGACATGGAATTTTCATTTGATTTGAGAAGCAGTTGAAACTCTTATTCCAGAGAAGTAGATTAAGGCAATAGTGTATAAGGAGTATGGTTCTGATCATGTAAGGTATTTTTATTATTGTTCTTACTAGTGAGACCTTGTGTGCTATAGATAGCAGGATGATTGGTGTAAAGGAAGGACCTATGGGGAAAAGAAAGCACTTAGAAAACTGTTTGAAATTAAGAGGGTTTCCTTTTTAGTGTAGGTCTGAAAAAGCAGCTCTCTTTCTGTGAAATGTAGTGGGTTAGAAATGGCAGGAGTTGATAGTAAAAAAGACATGAGAAACCAAAAAGGAAGGAGAAGGCCAAGTTTCTTATCAGAAAGGGGTTTTTCAACAATGGAAATGTTTAAAAGGAATAGTACTTTGGCAGAGAGGAAAAGGAAGGCAACATGGAATATGTTTTGTTTTATGTTATAAAAAGACTCGGAAGTACAACATCCCGGTGCAGGAGGCCTTGAGGTTCAGACAGAAGAGAGCTGCAGGAAGTACAGATCTGCTGGGCTGCCTTTCAGCTAGATTTGTGTTTGAGTTCTTCAAATCTCACCTCAGGGAAGTAAGATGGAATAATCTACTCAGGGAAACCCCCGAGCTTCTAATGGGATTTAGAATAGTTTTAATTGTGCATTATCAAAATTCTCCCACAGTGTGACTTCTTCCTGGAATATTCCATGTCAGGGAATTTCAGTGGAAAGGACATAGGAGTCCAGGCATTCCTAGGAGTAAAGGCAAACTTGAGTAATTGCTTACCTTCTTTTAATTTCAATTTCCTCAGAGACAAAATGGGATAATAACAGCATCCTCATAAGATTAGTTTTGAGGATTAAATGAGATGATGTGTGTGTGAGGTGCCAGGTGAGTATCTCCTAAAAAGCGTTTTCTCAAATAATGATAATTACAAAATCAATATCGTTGAGAATGTGAATGATCCTTTTAGTTTCAACATGTCCATTATTCCCAGTATGTAAAATAGGACACTTACCTCCTCTCTTTCAATCGAATGCCGGAATTCCCTCCTCTCAGTTCCATATATTATCACTCTGGAAGTTATTATTTAAAAAAAAGTGCCAAGTTAATTGACTGCAGGGATGTATGGTAAGAGAGCATTCACTGCAATTTGTTAAAAGATCCATGAAATGTAATCAACGGACATCAAGTGATTCTTTTGTTTTTAATGGGAGAGCTAGATCTACAATGGACTGTTTTTCATTCAGACTCTGCCTGAAAATTTGCTCTGTTAACATATCTTGTTGTGACATTGCAATTTTTGTTTTAAAATCCCTTTCTGTTAAAATGAAAACCAACCAACCAAAGTAAAAAGTACCATTTCCATGAACAAAAAGAAAAAAAAAAGTATCTGGGATTTATTTGCTTTTAGCTTCCAAACAAAATCCCATTTCCTATTAAAATATCTTGATGTATTGTGAATGTAGTAGTCCTCAAATTTATATCTGAATCAAGTGTCTGCGTTTGCTAATCTCTTCACTGTTTTCTAATGGTTGTCTTCCTTTCTGCTGAAATAGTAAGTGGGTAAATAGTCGTACGTGGGATGCTTGCATCTTTAATATGCCAACCCCTTCTGTCTTAGAGGCATATTGTGCCAGATGGAATGTTTCATAAACACTGTGACAGACAAATTACATTAGATACCCTGGCTAGCACAGTGACACACAGCACCTTGATATAACTCAATTTCGTCTTTGCCTACATCTCAACCATCGCATTTTAGATCAGCAGTGTGTAGTATAAATGATCATCTCTGAATAGAATGATAAATCCATCCACTATGTTTGTAAAGCATTCAGCCTCTATTAATTTTTTTCATGGCAATATTTATGCTAATAGTCAAACCTCAGAATGGCAAAGCAAGATTATTTTTCCCACAAAACTATTCTCAAAAAGCAGTACCTCTTTCTGTGAGTATTGTAAGGATTATGAGAGGAAGCAATTGAAATAAATTTGAATCCTTGTTTTGGTATTTGCAGTTGAGCAAATGAATCAGTGTAAACATTCTTTAAAGACCTTTTTAAGAAATCAGTAGCTTGAAGGTTGAAGATAAATAATTCCTATTACACAAACTATTATGACTGTTTGGTACTAAAAGAAGGAATATGTTTGTTTTCAATATATAAATGAGGAGAGTAACAGAACACTCAGAGGAAAATAGCAACTAGACAGACAGATAGACTGACAGATGGGTAGATAAATAGAAGGAGCTCATCTAATCCTCAGAAGTCAAGAATAGAATTTATTTTTCCAGTTTAAGTAACAAAATTCTTTCTTGCACAGTCTAAGTGCTTAATTTAAGTGAGTATCTCTAGTTTAAAAGCTTTAGTGTAGATGTTGTTTTAGACGGGAATTGATATCAGAAATTGCAAGCATTTAAAAGATAGAATAAAATATCCTTTAAAAAATTATTTACAACCAAGACAGAATTTTGACAGCCCCCTTTCCTCACAAAGACCCTTCTATTCCCTGTTGTCTGCCCTATTAACTTTCAGAGCACTTATCTGGAGGCCTAACTCTGAAGGCCAAGGATTCACAACAGACCCTCCCCACTTCCCATTATGGGGACCTTTTATAGGAATATGTTTCCATTCTCAAGACAAGGCGATAATTATTTTTCTTCATGATGTGGCTTGCCTTTACAATCTAGTTTATTATGCAATTTAGTAGAAACTAAGGAAAGCTTAAGAAATGCTTCATGAATTCATGGATTAAAATCATTGTCTTAACTGGACACTCCTTAATCTCATGAAGGAGACAATGAAATTTATAGCTGCATGACTAAGTGCAGAAATTGACAACTTTTTTCAATTAGTGGTCTAAAATATAATTTCAATGTGCTAGTGACAGTGAGTTAATTAAAATGTAAAGCACCGGTAAATTATGTAAATCAGAAATTGCATAAATCATAATCAAAATTCCTAAAATTCTCTCCCTTTAAAAAAATAATTTTGTAGTAAGCATACAGTTGGAAATGCGTGATCAAAGAAATGTGTTATGAAAACAAACGCAGCCAATGATTTAAAAAACATACTCTGCAAATGGCAAAGTATGTTTTTTAAAAACACTTGATAAATCATGACTGTTCTTTTTGCTGACTTAATCGGCTATTTTACAAAGAAAATATATATGTGATTAGTTTAAACTTTAGTTATCATGATTTAACATGATCATCAGTTAGAACAAAGAATCTGATCTGATTTGATAGCAGATCTCTTTTTAAAAATGTTTTCTATTATAAAATTAACATAACACATTTTTAGAAATTACTTTAAAAAAAAGGGAGAAACACCCATAATCTTATAATCTTAACAGCTTAACACACATTTTGTTGTATGTTTTTAGTCTAATTTCCTATTCATTTTTTATGCAGTCAGCCAATTTATACAGAAATGTTCTTTTTCTTATTTTCTGTTGTATAGTCAGCATTTTGAGTCTACTAGTCTTTATAATACTCAATTTTAATGGTTGAAGAATATCCCATTTTGTAGTTTTAAACCATCCCCTTATTATTGGACACGGGCATTTTCTTATCTGTAGGTTTTATTGTAATTTGAATAGAATTGCCACTTTAAAAGTGGTCCTAAGATGTAGAATTGCTAGCTTAAAGCCCATGAACTTGAAATTTTTTCCTTTTGGCTATGCTTATTTCTTGTTAGACTTTGAACAAAGGATACTTAGTACACATTTAAAAAATATATAAGTGAATGGATATTACTGTGAAGGTGTTCTGTCCATTCTAAAAGTATTCCCAAAAAGCTTATGAGAGCTATGGAGTCATGGGGAACTGAATTGAACTCCTCTTACTTATTTGTGACCCAAGGCAAACTGCTTACATTTTCTTGGCCCCAGTTCTTCCAAGTGTACCAAAGTACAGTATTGGTATCTACCTTTGAGGGTCTTTGCTTGAATATTAAACAAGAAAATGCATGAAAAGTACAGTACCAAGCTAACTGTATCGCAGTAACATTCCTTAATTCCTTAAAAATCAATGTTGATATTGACGGTAATATCTAATCAGTCCCTCAGTAAATAAATTCATTAAACAGCACATCTAAAAATGTTTTTGGCTAAACATTTTTAGCTAAATGCCTGATTATTAAATTAACACAACTAACTAAAATGTGCTAAAACGTCTCAGATGGGCCAAGCTTTTATGTCCCCCTGGAACTGACCAGTATTTTGGGCATCATATGAACTCTCTGGATCAGATATCTGTACGATTCACTGAACTGGCCAGGCAGTCGATCTGAACTGGCTCGTGAGACGGTATTTATCAAATAGATGTGACTCTGAGTGACGTGCATGGCTATAGGCATTCACATCTCACACTCCCACAATGACATGAGGACGTAATGTGCTCCTCTCAAGCTTTAATTTGGCAAGGAATCTCTGCCTCTGAAAGCAAGGATGTGACAGCTGTCTGAGCAGGCACCCAATATAAGGGAGGAATTATACAGCTGCAAAGACAGGGCTCTGCTCTGTCATTACCATCATCATCATTTAATATTTATCTGGGTGTCCACAATGTGCCTCTGCCTTACAGGCTGCAGGCATCCTTACGCCTCAGGAGAGAGAAACAGATGAAAGGGAGTACATGCCAAAGATGAAACAAACACCCACACTCCATCAAATGTACAGGCACTACTTAGAAAGATGCTACTTATTTCTGAGTGCCGAGATTGTACGTGCCGGTGGGAAACTTCCCAGCCAGCAATAGCAGGCCTTCAAAAGGAGAAGTAGCAAAGGTGAGACTTGGGGATCTTTTTGAGCAATGATCCTGATACAAAGATAAGGTTGAACACTATTTGGAAAGTATGCTCTCCCTCTCTCTTTTTTTCCCCTCAGACGTGAGGTGAAAAAAGTGGATGGGACATCTTATTTTTCAAGTGCCACACTCAAGATGTTAAATCACTTGGAGAATGCATTCATTTTTGGGAGGTTGCTGTAGAGTAATGGCAAACAGCCCGTACTGAAGCAAGGGTTTATAACACTATCCGCAATTTTTATTTTTTTATTTTTTATTTTTTAAAGATAAAGTGGGAGAGGGAGAAGCAGACTCCCTGCTCAGCAGGGAGCCCGATGCGGGGCTTGATCCCAGGACCCCGGGATCATGACCTGAGCCCAAGGCAGACACTTAACCGTCTGAGCCACCCAGGCGCCCCCACTATCCACAATTTTTAATTGCATACTTTTTTCTAACAATTTATTAATGTTTTTGACAGTAGGAGAAATTATGGAAAGTATAAAATAATTAAGGAAAATGATTCCTTAAATCCTTAAATCCACCATGTTTAACATTTTGTTTACTGCATTTCCATTCCATCATATATCCATTTGGGAAAGACTTTCCTTCTGAAACTTTTAATTTTCTTTTCATCATTAAAATGTAAGAACTTTCTCATTAAATATGAAGTTGTTTCTATTATTCTTTTTAATAGCTAATCAACAAGAAATTCTTTATGATAAATAACTAAAAATTCTATTTCCTGGAACAAAAAGTCATGCCCATTTTTAATTTTGATGGACACCAACCAGTCTTTAAAACACACACATATACAATAAAAATCTACTCCCACAAGTAATATATGAGAATTTCCATTTGTTTATGCCCTCGCCAAGCCTGGATACTGGCTAAAGTTTGACATTTTTTGTTGTTATGATTTGCAATTCTTTGATAAAAATTGGCTAAAGAATTATTTCGTATGTTCATCAGCCATTTTAGATTTTTATTATGTGAATATATTGTTTATTTCACCACTTAAAATCTGGCTATCTTTTTTTTTTTTACTGATCTGTGCTAGCTCTTTACATTTTCTGGTGTCAAAGCAAACATTGCACCACACAAAATTAAACACATAAGGCTAACTCAATAGCGTAGAGGACAGAACTCAGACAGAACTCGACTCTGCCTAATTGAAGGGCAGGGAAGTTTTAAGTACTGGGGTAAGAGGGAGAACACAGGTCATCTGTGTTTACTAAGTAGCTTTACCCAGGCCCCAAACTGGACCAAGGAACTTGCAGAGAAGGTCATGGAACAGCATAAGTTATACAGAGAGAGAGAGAGAGAGAGAGCACATGAGCACAAGCAGGGGGAGTGACAGGCAGAGGGTGAAGCGGGCTCCCTGCCCAGCAGGGAGCCTGATGTGGGACTCAATCCCGGGACCCTGGGACCATGACCTGAGCCTAAGGGAAACTCTTAGCCAACTGAACCACCCAGGCGTCCCTGTGGAAAAACTTAATACACTGTCTTACACATTGGAAAAAAAAAAAAGTAAACTTTCTCATATAGTCCTGACAGGAGGGACACTCATACTTTCCCAAAGAAACTAGAGATATGTGAAGTTCTATCTCCCTTGAAGATTACATTTTGAAGAGGTAGCTCCCACGTCCTTGAGAAAGACATGCCTGAGTCATAAAACTGGCAGGAGATTTTAAAAATTTTTATAGAGAAGATTCTGGGAAGATGGCAGTGTAGGAAGCACCAGGAATCTATCTCCCCTCCTAGACAACAATTGTACTGGCAGAAGCTATCTGTTGTAACTGCTTTGGAAATCTAGAGTCTCCTGAATGCTTGCAACTTCCCAGGGAAGATGTGGTGGTAAATTGCGGTTTGTTTTGCTTAATTTCATCTCTTTTCACAGTAGCAGCTACCTATCCCCATCCCTACTCACGGCAGACAATTACGCACCTGCTGTACACACACACACCTTGTGGGAACCAGAATGGACAAAAGCACCCTGTCCTCCAAATATTTGGATCTGGGCTTTAATTGCCGACTGCTGCTTCTGGTCACAGAGGTGCAGACAAAAAAGCTGTGGCCATTGTTGTTGCATCTTCCCCCATTATTGTGAGATGTCCCCAACACACACCAACTGAAGCAACTTCCAGGGGATTTAAAGGGCCAGTGCCCTTCCTCCCTTATCATTTTTCCCTTTGCCCCCCTTTGGGAGTCAGACATTAAGGACTAGAACATGCAAATGGGGGATACTGTTTAATGGGTACAGAGTTTCATTTACACAAGATGAAAGGAGTTATGGAGATGATGATGATGGTTGTAAACATTATGAATATTACCATGTACACTTAGTAAACATGGTAAATTTTATGTTATGTGTATTTTACCACAATAAAAAATGGGAAAAAAAAGATTTACATATATCCCAAAGGGGCAGGAAAAGAATTTACAAGCTTTCTAAAGAAAATGTTCTGGGGCGCCTGGGTGGCTCAGTCGTTAAGCGTCTGCCTTCGGCTCAGGTCATGATCCCAGGGTCCTGGGATCGAGCCCCACATCGGGCTCTCTGCTCGGCGGGAAGCCTGCTTCTCCCTCTCCCACTCCCCCTGCTGTGTTCCCTCTCTGGCTGTGTCTCTGTCAAATAAATAAATAAAATCTTTAAAAAAAAAAAAAAAAAAGAATGAGCAGGATGTTGGTATGTCTAGAGTATAGTAAGTCAAGAGGAGAATGGTTCAAGATGAAATTTAAAAGATGAGTGGAGCCAGATCATGTGGTTGGTGGTGCCTCTGGCTGGTGAAACTCACAAGAAGTGTGGGTGAAAAGTCTCTGGTCACTGCTTCTCTGGAGAAGATTAGAGATAGATAAGATCTGCCTCTTCTCCAGGCCACCCTGGACCTCTGTCCTCCTCAGACTAGTTAGGCCTTCGATGGGATACAAGAGAACGTCCACTGGATGGTCAGGGAAATCTCGGAAAACACAGTGTGGAAAAAGAGAGGTGGAAGTTCTATCTAAATTACTTGATCGCTTAGATTATGCAAAGACTCTTCCAGACTCAGCTGTTGAAATAAGTGTCCTGTAGCTGCTTTCTCTCTCCAGACCCCAGTGTCCATTCATTCCCATTTCCTCCCCACGGCACTTTTAAATTCCCCAGACCGACACCGTTAGACATTCCCTAACAAAACGCACTGCTCTTCCAGGGATAAGGAGCTTCATCCTCCTTAGAATCCCTTACAAAATTGTGAGCCATGGGATTTAATTATGTTCCAGATGATCCTACCACAAAGATACCTGAGGAAGAGGCAGAGGTCATCAGGTTCCATCAAAGTATTACCTGTGATTCCCTGAAGTTTTAATATCCAATGATATCTCTCTGTTATGGTATTTTCCTGCTTTCAAAATTAATCTAATATATGATTATTTAAAGATCTATACTTATATCATGGATTGCATGCAAATATCTAAAGAATAATTTAAAACTTCAGAGCCTTTGGTATATTTTGGTTGGGTGGGTAGGAACTGGTCATATATATACTCACAGGCAAAGGCTTAAAAATTTGAAGATGATTATGGTGATAAAACCTTACACTTAAAAAATGTATACATGTATGATCACATGTACTATCACATTTGAGTTTCACAACATCCTTAGAGGATAGGCTTCATTATCATTATCCCCACCTTACAGCTAAGAAACAAGTTCAGAAAGAAATTGCTTGCTTTTTTTTTTTAAGGATTTATTTATTTTATTTTAGAGAGAGAAAGAGAGAGATGAAGAGTGCAAGAGTAGAAGGAGGGCCAGAGGGAGAGAGAGACTCTCATGCAGACTCCCTGCTGAGCACAGAGCCCACTGTGGGGATCAATCTCATGACCCATGTGATCATGACCTAAGCTGAAACCAAGAGTCGGATGCTCAACTGAGCCACCCAGGCACCCAGAGAAATTACTTTCTTAATGACATATATGGGCACAGAAGATGAATCTTGAACCCAGCTTCTCTAACTCTGTAACTATATGTAGCTCTTTCAAGTATACTTTTCTGTCCTTCTTCTATTTTACTAGGGAAGGAAGGAGCAATATTGTCACCATACTCTACATTTTTTAAGGGCTACTATTAGGCAAATGAACAATTAGCTGACTATTATAAAACCAAAAAACATCGTTACTTTTTATTCATGAAGGCAGAAAGATTATGCTAACAGAACCTTGAACTAATGAATAACCTTTTATCATGAATTATAATGTAATACCTGTAACATTTAGCTATAACAATATTTTAATTTAGTGAAGCTTTCTGTGGTAATGTTAGCACACATGAAAATCAAGCAAAAAGAAATACTGAAAGAATCTTAATGGAAGCCATTACACAGACAACCTACACTCTCAGAATATTTATAAGTAAAAGAAAAAATATTCTATTTCCCCATTTAAGAAATGAAAGAAAGTCAGACAACTTTGGCCTGAGGTAAACTTGAGAAGCCACTGATAGCTTACTTGGACATATTTTTGGAATCTCTGTGTTCATGCTCCTCCTTCTTTCCTTGTGATTCCTCTTCACCATTTCTCCTACCTCATCTGGAACATTTCCATGACAGTGTCCATCCAGATACATGAGTGTTCTCTGGCAATGTGCCTTTTAGAGTGGTCTTTACTGTATTTTGGAGATGGCATTAGCTCTTTAGGGAAAAAAAAAAAAAAATAAGGGCAACTCCTTAATTATAAGCTGAGTTTCCAGGCAACAAGTGCTCCCCTACTGTGTCATTTGGTCATATACATTCTGTTATGTAGGCACTGGTTAGTATATGTGGAATAGTGAGTATTTCTTTTGAGTATTATAATTTAAGCACTGCTTGAGTACACTGGAGACGGTAACTTGCTCCCTTTGTTATAGTAAAAGATTAGAGTTTATATTCTTAATTCACGGTTGCTGCCTTGTAACCAAAACTCTTCAGAAACGGGTCATTGGATTTTCTTACAGCTAAAATTTAAGAAGAATAATACTTGGCACATAGTTAATAATGCAAAGGGATACCAAACATGTATTTGGGAGAGAAAACACTCTTTTCTCAGTTGAACAGATAATTTTCAACACAAAACCTCTCTGACAAATTGAGCTGGGCAAATTGGCCATTTCAGGTCAGCCTGGCTGCTCTTGATGTATTCAATACAGAACAATGTCATAATAACACTGCATTTTATATCTACAATCCCCATGCACTATAGAGGAGGTCCCCTAGGTGCTAAAGAAGATTAATAGCAGTGAGAAAGTTGTACAATAAACTCACAAATAATTTAGCCATTCCAAGGCGATTTATAATACACCCTTTTGTGTGGAAATAACACAACAAACAAAGAAAACAAACCTCAAATTAGTGTGTGCGCATATATATAAAATATATATATATAAATATATATATATATACTTTAAATTATATATTTACATATACATAAACACATAGTTTAAGAGACCAGAAAAGGAGGTTGACTGGGATAGCAATTTGTCTCCTCATAGCCAGGAGGTCCCATTTCTCTTTAGCAACAGTACAGATAAAGTCCTCTTGATTGATTTTTTTTCTGTGGTTTGAACTATGGTTCTGAGGCTCTTTGTTGAGCATTCATAGCCAGATTAGGATTCCAGATAAACTATGGTCCCTGTTTTAATTAAGACCAGTAGGCAGCCACAGGAGTTCTTTTAAAAGAGTTACAGTGTATTTTCTCCATGAAGAGAATCAGGAAGCTGGGGCACAATGAGAAAGAGAATGAAAAGTAAAGGAAATGGGAAAATGCATTGGATGGTACCATTGATTGTTACCAAAAATTAATTTGTTCTTTTTTGTGAACCTTTTCATCAGGAGAATCTCCATCAAGTGCAACATGATGTTTCCAATGAATGTCCTCAAGGCAACAGGAGTAAAAATTCATTCTGTGTTGCAGCAAATACTAACCCTGAAATTGAACAGAAGAGATCAATTCAAGTCCAAACAATAACATTTAAACAAATAATAAGAAAGACTCCAGATCAAGGGATGATATAATTAAAAGGCAGCCTTTTGAAAACTGAAAAGGTTTGGGGTTAAAAAAATTAAGTTTCAATAAAAAGAAAACTGTTGAAAAAAATGTAATCATATTTCAAAATTCACTTTTAGAGAAAAAATATATTTTTTTACATATTCAATTCAGAATGGGATATTGAACCTGAGTATACAGAGGATAGCAAGGACTGCTTTAGAGTGTTTTCATTATAATTGCTTTGATTTTCTTTGTTACAATTACTTGCAAGATCTCAGAGGGCAGATGATGGTTATCTCCATTTTTTTCAGAGAAAGAAATGGACACAGAGACATTCAATGATATATAACCAAGTGGCAGAGATAGAAACATTGGTTTTGTGAGTCCTTATCAAACATGAGTTCCTATAAAACAAGCATTTTTAAAAAAGCAAATGACAACATAGTAACAATATTTTCATGAAACAGTTTTTGATTTAAAATCAAAGTTTAATTTAAATAATACATGATTTCTAAACTTTGGTCCTTAGTTTTGAGATTTAGGGTTGACATGTTTCTGATTAATATATGGATCACCTTGAGTGAATATGTGTAATATTTTAAAGGTTTTTTTCAGTTGTAATTTTGAAATAATTTTAGACTTAAAAGAATTATACAAATAGTACAAAGAATCCCTATGCCCTTTACCCAGATTCTTCAAAATATAACTAGAATTCACTGATCAAAATCAGGAAATTAACCTTGATACAATATTAATATTTAAATCTATAGACCAGTTTTGCCAATTGACCCACCAATGTTCTTGTACTGACACAGGATCTAATATAGGATGAGGGTTCATTTTGTTGCCATGGATTCTTATTTTCCTTTAATCTGGAAAGGTTCTTTCATTGACCTTTGTCTGTCATAACCTTGATATTTCTCAAGAGTACTGGAGAGTTAATTTGTAAAATGTTTCTTGACTTATTGTGATATTTTCTCATGACTATGCATTTTTGGTAAGAATACCTACCACAGAAATTATGCTGTGCCTTCTCATGGTGTCATGCTTTTCTCACGCTCATGATGTCCGTATATCTTATTATTGGTAAAGTTAAGGTCCTATCTGTCAGATTTCTCCACTGTAAATTACTATTTTTTTCTTTTTGTATTTAGTATCATGTGGGGAGATGCTTTGAAATTATGTAAATATCTTATTTCTTATCATACTTTGGTGTAGCATCCATAGATGATTCTTGACTGAAACAATTATTATATATCTTTTATTCTAAATGTATTGGTTGGAATTCTGCTTTAAAGCAGAACCATACCCTCCCCACCATTTATTCATTCTTTCAATTTTTCAATCAGTATGAACTCATGGCTTCTTATTTTACTCTATGGGTAAAATATCTAGTACTATCATTATTTATTTTCTTTTTTTCTGGGACATTTTGAAAATCAATCTGTTACAAGTGTCAGAAAAACAGGTTATAAAGGTAAATCAATGTGAGCTGGTAAGATTCCTTTTAGGGCTAAAATATGCTATGGATGTTCCCACACATTGGAATGTGTCTGAAGTGCAATTTGCTACCACCCCTTCCTTTGCTTGAATTATATTTATGAACCTAGAGACCATTACTGGGTTTAAAAAAATAGTTTTTCTGAGCTGAAGTCTGATGATCTGCCCTTAGGCTAATCCTTGGGCTCAGCTAGATACTGCCTTGCTCTACTTCTAATCCTGCCTCAGGCTAGCACCCAGAGCCCTTCACAGATCCCTTCCTTATATGCCCTGGGAAGCCCAAACACCAAAAGTCCTTTTAGCTTCATGTTTCTAATTTTTCAAAATAACAACATCATCAGTCCCTCCTCAGGTGGCCCCTCAAGATGTGTAGGCTGTTATTTGGGTTCTCCCCAGTAGAGATCCTGAAACCAGGATTCATTTGTAAGTAGTATATTTGAGAAGTTCCGATAACACAGACAGAGACATGAGAAACAGAATGGAAAGCAGCTAGTGGAACGTGTGCTCTTCAGCCAGCTGACACAGTATACAAGTGGAGCTAAATTCTGCTTGGACTCTGGAAATTGATACAAAACACACACATCATAATTAGGCAACCTAAAGTGTGAGGCAACCAGAATATTTATATACTAATTCTGGAGAACCGATGGTTGAGAGCTGCTCCTGGAGGTGTTCCTTCCTCAGTATTCTACCTTTGTGTGTGTGCATACACATGAGCACATAGACATTGTGGTTTTCCATGGTTTTGGGGAGGGGAGGTTGGGGAAGCCAGTATCTGCAGAGTTCCAAGTACTGGAATTTGGGGATTGGCTAGAGATACCAAAAGATTATGATAGAGTTATGGGTGGGGCAATGATAAGGTCTGCTACTCAAGCCCTTTTGCATATTTTATTTAATGCTCAAAAAGAATCATGCCAAATAGGGAGAAGAGATATCATTTTCATTTTATAAATCAAGTAGCTGAGGTTTGGAGAACCCAAGTGACAACCTTAAGGTCACATACTATAATGTATGTACATGAAGGATAGGGCTAGACAATTGCAGAGCATAGGAAAGAAATACAATCTTCACTTCCCTATTCTAAAGCACAGAGTTGCTGGTATTAAGTTGACCCTTACAAGGAAGAGATTTACTCCTTAGCTTTCTAAAGTGGGCCCCGGGACCTCTCAGCCACAGGAAGTCCTCAGACTTACTCCCAAGTGCAAAATGGCATGAACCATCCCCATTTCTCAGTGATTTACATTTTGCTGCTCTGCTTAATGGATACCACTGAGTAATGACCTATATTTCATTTCTTGCTGACTTTACCTGCTCATTAGCAGTTTCTATTACAGTCCTAATGTACCAAAGCAAATGGCTGATCAGGAGATGGGCACATACGGCCCCAAAGTTTCCTTAGAGTAATCCACCATGATACACAGTCAAGCTAATGCCTTGAATCTAAAAAATAGGAAATGCCTGAGCTAATTCAGCACTAAAAACAAAGGAAGTGTTCCATACTTTTAATAGACATAAATGCAATTATAGATCTAAGAAACAAGAACAGAATTATTGGATAGTCAAATGATATTAATTAGTTCATTTATTTACTCAGCTTATTAGTTATATAGTTCATCTATTGATTCCTATTATGTGCCTAACTCTATGGTAAGTACCAACACTACAAAAATACATGTCGCTGTCCCTGTTTTTACAGAACACGCTGTTAGGAAAGTATGAAATGCAAGGAACTTCCTGAAAATTGGAAACACTTGTGATGCAAAATGATGTAGTCTACAATGGAATACAGGATGGTATAAAATGAAACTGGAATGACAGATTGGGTCTAGATTGTCAAGAGCCTTTAATGTGATGACAGGGATTTTGGATTGTCTTAGGTAACAAGGAATCACTGGCTTTTACTTTAAAGCAGTGGGATGACTTAAAAACAATATCAAGAAATTGAAGAAAATTATTTCTCCCTCAAACAATTAGGCAATCTGGTTCTTGAGCACTATTCTCTCCTTCAAAGAAATGCCATGTTATTAAAAATGACCTCATAATTATATGGGTCATTTGGTCACAACTTTTGAGTAACTTTGCCTTGTTTGTCTTCTTGGAGGGCACGTCCTTTGCTTGCTGATATTTCACCCATGACTCTAACCCACCTGCAGAAAGCATTGAAAAATCTGTAGATAAATGTGTGGAATAATTTAGGCTATGCATCTTTGTATTGCTTTGTCTCTTGAAGAATTTTCTCAAAGGAAATTCTGAGTATGTCCCTGCAGAATAATTCTCTTATTGGCTCAGTGAAATAATGAAAAATGGAAGATGAGAATGCCTAAGAAGAATATCAACACCAATAACATATAATTATTGAGGTTTTGTTATGTGCCAGGCACTATGCCAGGCACTGCAGGTGGAATTGTGAATAACATGGGAGATTCGTTCCCATCTTAATCTGACATTTGGGTAAATGGGGAAGCAGAGCTGAATCACGAAGAGCATGAGATTTGGAGACGGAGATGTGAATGCCACATTAACTCTAAGAAAAGTGCCTCACTTCTTGGTCTTAATTTATTGTTTATAAAATGGAGATAAGATAGTCTATTTTTTATAACTCTCATCCCCATCAATCTCTTTCCACTAACTCTGCTCTATTCAAGTATTTATCTATTCTTTTTTTTTAAAGATTTCATTTATTTGACAGAGAGAGACACAGCGAGAGAGGGAACACAAGCAGGGGGAGTGGGAGAGGGAGAAGCAGGCCTTCGGCAGAGCAGGGAGCCCGATGCGGGGCTCGATCCCAGGACCCCGGGACCATGACCTGAGCCGAAGGCAGACGCTTAACGACTGAGCCACCCAGGCGCCCCCAAGTATTTATCTATTCTTTAAAATTTATGACATGTTTCTATATTTGTTTACTTCTCCCCTCATTAAAATGTAATTTCCATCAGGGCAGAGATCTCACCAGTCTTGGCTACTGTGGTAGAGAGAATAATGTTCCCTCGAAGACGTCCATGTTCTAATCTCTAGAAACTGAATATGTTATATGACATGGTGACGGAGAATTAAGGTAGCAGATTGAATTAACCTTGCTAATCAGCTGATATTAAGATAGGGAGATTACTGGGATTATCAAGGTGTTCAGATAAAAGACCAGAGTGGTAGCAGTGTAAAGACTCAGCTCAGCATTGCTGGCTTTGTAAATCAAAATATGAGTCCACAAACCAAGGAATGTGGGTGACTTCTAGAAGCTGGAAATGGTAAGAGAGTAGACTCTCCCCTAGAACCTCCAGCAGTAACACAGACCTGCTGACACTTGATTTTAGCCCAGTGAGACCCAGTGAGTTCCGGGGATGTATAATAATTTTGTATTGCTATAAGCACTAAGTTTGGGACAATTTGTTACACCAGCAATAAGAAACTAATATTGCTATTCAGG